TATTCAGCACTCCAAAACACTACCCCGTGTGAAAGGCGCTATATAAATGCAATTTGTTGCTAAAATACAGGATTTGCGATTCATAGACTGGATGAACACCTGAGCTAGTAGGTGGCAGCTGAGGGGAAGGATGCCTGAAAGCATGGTCAAAGAGGTGCTTATATTCATTTTATACTATACAGGCAAAAAAAATTCCCTCACTTTATACTATAGCACTTCTGTCAGTTGATCTATTACATACCAAAGAACAAGACATCTATATTATATATTATAAGAATAAATACTTGCATTTGTTATAGCTCTTTTCACATCTTCCAGACATCTCAAAGCACTTCACACACTATACTGTAAAGTGAATTGACTGTATATCTGTGGGAAAAACGCGGCAGCAATTGCGTACAGCAATGCCCCACAAACAGCCGTGGATTGAAGTGACCAACTTATTATTGCTTTTTTTCTTGAAAAATTATCACGAGTGTGGAGTAAGGAGGGAGTTTCCGTAGTTGAGCCTTGAGGTTACGAATGCATGTATGAGGGTTTCGGTGGCCTGAGAGGTGAGGCAGCGGCAATGTTGTGGAGATGGGGGAAAGTACAGCAGGTCATGGCATGGATATGGGGGAGAAAGGACCGTTGAGGGTTGAACACGACGGCCAGGTTCCTGACTGGCTTGGTGAGGTGTGCATCCGTGGATGAGGTGCGGAGGTGCTGGCGCGGAGGGCCTCAGTCTGGCTGACTTTCCGCTGTAGAAAGTTGGTTCTCATCCAGGATTTGATATCTGACAAACAGTGTGTCAGGACATCAGTTGTCCTAGAATTGAGGGTGGAGGCAGAGAGGGAGTTGGGTGTCATCCATGTACATGTGTAAGTTGACCCCATGTCTGCGGATGTTGTCACCAAGTGAGAGCATGTAGACTTCACATCCACTTCACAATATATTTCTGTCAAGCGCTTTGCAAATGCAAAGATTATTACTTTAGATGTTAGACAAACAGCTAATTAAAACGCTGACCTTGCATTCATAGATACCTGTTTACAGCAATTATAACAAGCTATATGATGCCAGACACACTCATTGTCACCAATTTTCACTATCACTCTTGCGTGTGGAGGCAACAGGAGAGCTGACTCAGATCTTGAGTCACATCTTGCTTGATCCAGGAAAACTGATGATTTTACATTACTGGTTGCTTCCATAAAATAAACCAGCAGTGTTAAAGCAATATTAATAAAACACCAGGAAACAAAGTAGAAAGGATTATTTGGATCCACGCTGTGAGAGCTGGATTAACAGTCAATTGCTGAACCAGAACTGGGTTAATGAAGAGCTCTTCTGCCCACTAGGTTCAGCAATGCCTTGATCCAGTTCATCGAAAACATGCTTGTTCAAGAAAAAAATTAATCATTCTTAACCTTTTTTTAAAATCTAAAATGGTACTGTAAGTTTTAATATCTAATCACTACAGAGCAGAGATGCAAAATCACTTTTCCTTACTAATACTACGTGTGTAGACTTATTATGCCAACTTTTTCATTGAGACATAGAAATACTATAATAATCCTGAAAGGGGGAGACTTACAAAAGAATACCAGGAGGATGAGTAATTCCACGTGTTCCTGAAAGCACAAAGAATCTTTAGAAATGCTGCAGGGTTGAGAACTGCCATTATAAATGTGAAATGATAATCTGGCAGGTGCAAAAAAAGGATTTCAGTAGAATAGACCTTGCATTCGGCAGCCAGGGGCTGAGCGGCTATATTTCAGTCTCAGTATACCTTTTACAAACTCCCATAGGGGGACCCACAGAATCAACAGCCAACCCAACAAACCATGATGGGATTGCTCTAAAATCCATCTGATCAAATGAAAGATTAATTTTTGTGTTTTTTTTAATATCTCACTGGGATGAATCATTTTCTGATTAGAATAGTAGACGGGGAAATAAAAGCTATAATACAACACTAGAAATGTCATCTTGGTAGAACACATGAAAAGCAGGAGCCAACTCATTTTCAGCTCTACCACTACAAGCTCATCTAAAACATAGCCACCCACATCTTACATCTTATCATTGATGGCAAAGGTTTCAGACATTATACCGCCTCACACACTGGAACTCCATTCCTTAACCCCTCTCTTTTGTTCTATCAGGTTTCAAGAGAGGCTTAAAAATCTTCCTCTTCAACTATCTGTCACCTCCCTCCTCCAACTTACTCAGCGTCTGGTACTAACTCGGCAAAATGCTCTGAGACGTTACTTTACCTGAAGTTATTGTCTGTGTGAATAATGACAATACTGATGGCAGGCCTCACAGCTGAACTTGATCCAGCTGTCGATTTACATAAGCATGTGGTCTCGGTAACAATCAGAAAGAGAAACCCTGGAAATGCTGAGGGTTATCTAATCTGCTGTCCGGGCTGAGAACAGGTAACTAAACAGATTTCTGTAGTTTCTGGCAGGCGATCAGAATAGAACTTCAGAGATATTAATACATTTCTTATTAGACTGGATACAGCACTTGGAATCAATCTAAAACTCCCAATGTAATGAAGATTTACAACCAAAAATTCCAGCAATTTCTTATGAACTTCCACAAGTTAAAATGACAGACACATCACCCTCAGCATATGTGGAAGCGCACTACAAGGTACAAGCATGGTATTAAAATCTCTACAGAGGGAACTGTAGCCATTAAAATGTCGTATCATGGTAGTGAGCAAGGTGGACATGCATGCAAGTCTGTATTTAATGTACAAATGCGGATTAAACCATTTAAGCTTCTGTTTTTTCTAAATGCCTATAATCTGCCAGGGCTGAAAGGAGATCATGCTGCCGACCTATATGTAGAAAATCGCTTAATTTTATTATCTGATTTGGTCCCCACTAGGTCTCACAAGTTCAGATGGATAATTTGTGGAGCACCTGACATAATACAGTATTAGAAAAAGGGAAATCAGATCACCGAACAAAAATATAACCCCATTTTATAGTGGTACAATTCCTTGGTTAAATATCATGGATCAGGCTTGTGGGTACGTGCCCAGAGGGTATCTATCTCCCATAATGCAAATTGTGATAAAGACACCAATCTATACGTTTGTGACTTCAAATTATTTTAAGACAGCTCGTCGCCACACATCAGCCAGTGCTGCTTTTTGAGCCAATTACATGATACAAGGAACCTCACACCCAATGCAGCCAAAATCCTGATCCACGCATTTGTCACCTTCCACCTTGATTACTCCAATGCCCTCCTTCCTCGTTTCCCCAGCTCAACCATTCACAAAATCCAGTTATTTAAGAATGCCGACACCCGTATCTTCATCCACACAAACGTGTACCCCCATCATCTCAGTCTTCGTTACGACTCATTGGCTTCCCATCACAGAATTATGTAACTTTACAGAATAAGGTGCATCTTTATTGAAGCAGAGAAAGTGGGGGAAGGGACCTGATGGAAGTTTATCACATCCTGGTTTTGTTGGGGCCAACGGGGAGAAGTTATCTCCATTGAAATGGGAGTCATTAACTAGGGGACATAATTATAAGATATACACAGAACAGCAAAATGAAAATTTAGAAGGGAGTTTTCAAACCCAGAGTATGGTTGGGATGTGGAACTCCCTGCTGAGTAGGGTGTTGGAAATTGAGTCCATTGTAGCTTTCAAGAGGGAAATAGTAGATAGGCAGATGAAAGAGGGGAGCTTGAAGAGGTATGGGGATAAGACTGAGTGGTGGGACTGCAATGATAAACATATAATACTTCTTGCATTTGATATAGCACCTTACCACAACTTTGAGACATCTTAAAGTGCTTCACAGAATGTAGTGTAAAGCGAATTGACTGTAATTTGTGTGGAAAATATAGATATAAACTTGTGTGATCTACTTGCTCTGAGAGCCGTGCAGACTCGGTGTATATTTCTATATTTTTATGAGGGACCTGTAAATGACCTGAGCCAACTAAGCGAAGATGATAGGTAATGGTGTGAGAACAGATTGGAGAGGTGGGGATACCAGGGAGTCAATTGATTTGAAGTGCAAGTGAATATCTTGAAATCGATCCATTTTGTAACAAGCAGCACATGGAGTCTGGCAAAAACTGGGATGATTGGGGTGCCAAGTTTGGTATGAGTGAGAACACGTAGGCGATGAGAGAATTGAAATGCGTGCATACAGGACACCGGGATTAAACTTATACCTTACTCATAGCCAATGCAGACTCAATGGGCCAAATGGCTTCCTTATGCACTGCAAATTTCTATGATGCAGCCCTTCATGAGATGTCTTGAAGATGTGATAAGGCACATCATAGGCAAGGATTATCAATATTATTATCAAGTCTGTGCAACGTTTCTCCATACAAGCCATCTATTCTCATCCCAATCACTTGCTCACTTTCCTTAATGTTCCTCCCCTTTAAAGGTATCTGCCCAACTTCAAAAGAATTGCTGGACTCCACTTCAATCACATTCTATCACAGTGTTTCTATATGCTGACCAGCTTCTACATAAATAATTTTTTTAAATTTACTTGAGAAACTGTCAGTTTCTAACGAGAACAACTTTCATTTAAATAGCGGTCTTTATGTGCGTATTTTGATAGTGGTGGTTGCCACCTCGGAGCGCTTAGTTGCTAACTATGTAGAAGGGTGTGAAATATACTGGTCCAGAGGACCACAGAGGTAAAATTAGTTGAAATGTTTGAACGAGATAACTACTTTCGGAGAAAGATATTAAGGCGTTACTGTATTAAGGCAGTGAAACTGGTATTAAGGCCATTTTCAATGCAATAAGAGAGCAGACTTCACAGGTTGAATAGCCTCGGATCCTATGTGGCGAAACCACCCGCTAGAAAAGTTCCGAAGCAGCAATGACGGAAACTTGATATCAAGTAACTTGCTGCCTTTGTCAGTCAGGTCCTAAGATTGAAAGGAAAGAAACAAACATAATCGCTTCAAACAAAAGACCCAAACCTAATTGGGTATGTACAAAATCAGCTTACCTCCATAGCCAGGGCTGCAGTCTGCTGATCATAGTGATTCAAAAGGTTCGGCATGAAAGTGGTGTTGTAAGGCAGCTCCTGGCACATCCGCAAGGCAATGGGTTCACAGGCAAACATACTGTGGCCACCTCCTTGGCTCAGGAATATAGAGAGACCACAAAGTGTCCAGAGCATTTTCCTCACATTGGCAGCCATCATGCCTGTGGTGTTCATCGGGGAAAACAAAACACGCCTTTTCAACCAACAGAGTGAAGAAAAACAGGTTCTCTTCTCGAGTGCTTGCTTTTTAAATCTTCTTTGTTCATTCCAGTCTCCATTCAGCCTGTAACCTGGCCCCGCCTCACTCACTCAGTCACTGATTTTTGAGTTTATCAAGTGCAGCATTCAGTGTTTTTTTTTTAAAAATGAAAGATTTATGGGTTGTTAGCAGACTTGGACACTGTTAAACCAGGCTCTGGTGGTGAAACATTTCCTTTTGTTTTGTGGTGAATCTCCATGTGGCCTCATTGGTTGTTAAGCACATTCCCATTCTGCTCAGGAAGACTTCTACCACCAAAGTGAAAAGCCTATATTTGAAACCTGTGAACACAAACATGAACAAGGTTAGTAACCCCACTCACATTTTATCTGGAAGATTGTTGGCCAGGTCACTGCTGTCCCTTCGCTTTTCAAGTAGTGCCTTGGGATCTTTGATGTCAACGTGAATGGGCAGATGGTTTAACATCTCATCAGTGATGGCACATCTGACAATGCAGTGTTCCCCTAGCACTGCATGGAGCATGAGCATAGACTGATCTCAAAATCCTTTCGTAGGCCTTGTGAGCCCACAATCCTGATTCAGAGGCAAAATTATATTAGTTCATTCTTAATACTATTTCAGTTTGTACTGTCCTTCAGGAACCCATTTGCAATTGCTACCATGTTTATGCAGTCATTGATGATTTCAAATGGAACACAACAAAATATAGGCACTACCATCTCCTGCCAACAGATCCCAAATACTTTAGTATATTCGGTAATCCTGGTATAAGTATAGTCATGAAAATTATTTCTTTTTTTAATGTAATTCTGACATGCATCAGGTAAATTCTTCCTTGCGAGAAGTACAATCTTAAAATGGTTCCATTAGCTCATGCAGCTCAGTGCTTCACCCAAGTGGCCAGTCGTCAAGCCTAGACAGCAGGTTACTGAACTGTAGAAGGTACTTCAGCATGTTTTGTGCCTTGCTCAAAAGCAAGCTGTCTGTCTGTTACTAAAGAAGGGGAGCAGTCTGTGGCATAGGAGGGAAACAAAGGAGTGAGGAGAGAAATAATACAAATAATAGGATGGGAAAAGTGGCAGCTCTGCTAATCTGAGCAATTATATGCTTGACAATTGAGGATATGCCTGGTTGGCTCAATGGTAGAACTCTCGCCTCCGAGTCACAAGCCCCAAATCGGGACTTGGAATCACACACTCCAATGAGACGCTGGGGGAGGGTGTTACATTGTCAGAGGTGACGTCCTTTCGCTTAACATCTCATCCTTCCTTTGGCTTTAACTTTCAGATGGATGTTAAAGGCACTATTCAAAAAAGTGTGTCTCCTGGTGTCCTGGCCAACAAATCCCCCAAAATAAAGTTGATTACTCAACGACAACAAATTACATTTGTATAACACCTTTCATGTCAACACAACGTCCCAAGGCGCTGGAGTCAGGGACCCGCACCCGACCTGATGGTTGCAATCAGGAGGGGTGGAGGGTGACTGAAGGCACGGTCAAAGAAGAAGGTCTTGAGATAGCTCTCAAAGGAGGCAAGGGAGAGGGTGAGGCGGAGGGACTGTGGGATGGAGTTCCAGAGGGTGCAGGCAGGGAGGCTGAAGGCCCACCTGCCAATGGTGGAATGGAAAAGGCGGTGGAGGTGATTCAGACCAGAGCCTGTTGAGAGGAGGGAGTGGAGAGGTTGGTAGCATTAGGAGGTCATATAGGTAGGGAGTAGCAAGGCCATGGAGCGCTTTGCAGGTGAGGATCACGATCTTGAACTGTATTCTCTGAGTTATTAGCTGACAAAGACATTATTTTCAAAACTTGAAAGGAGGGAAGGCAGGTTTAATTGTGCCAAGATCAGTAAGTTACTGTACAAACAGTCAGCTTTTTCTGAAAGTTATGAAACGATTATCAAGAATAGAACGGTACAAACTGTCAGGACAGAAGGCGGTCGTTTGGTCCTTTGTTTCGCGTCAGTGCTGGCTCTTTTAAAGAGCAATCCGTTCAGTCCCATTTACCTGCCTTTTCCCCATACTCCTGCAGTTTACACCTATTTAGATATCCACCTTTTCCCTTTTGAAAGCCAATGGATTCTGTGTCATCCACTGCTCCCGGCAGGGCATTCCATATCCTAACAGCTCAATATTAAAAATCTAATCTCCCTATTTAATCATTTCAGCTAAGTTAACTTGATGCCCTCTAGTCACTGACTCAGCAACCAGTGGAAATAATTGACTCTATTTAAACCCCCAAATCACAACAATTACATACCCTCCATACCCATTTTACCTCAGTAAAAACAATTTCAAATTCACAAAAGATGTCCTTCGCATCAAGATTCATTCCAGCTATTGCATCTGTTCTAGTAATCCTTCTCAAGAGCTTTCAGTACTAGAAAGATTATCCAAGATGCCTCAGGAGTGATTTACACCAAAGGCACACATCCATCCTCAGTGCTGTCCTGAAACAGAATCTTATTGCAGCACTGGGCTCTCAGCAAGCACATGGCCAATGGAGAAATGCTGCAATACACTAAACCAAACAGCTTTCCTAATGACTACAACAAGTGCAAAATTTGTGAATTTAAATTATTAATACATTTGTTCAATTATTTTCTAATTGTGGAGTCCTGTGGTTAGAGTACTCGCCTTGCAAGCGACAGATCTGGGTTCGATTTCTGGCAGGGTGAAATTTTGGGCACATTTCCTTACTCCGCACGACTGTAATAACCCCTCAAGAAAAAAATAATAATTTGGTCACTCAATCTGGCTGTTTGTGGGACACTGCTGTATGCAATTGGCTGTCATGTTTTGCCCGCAAATATAGTCAATTTGTTTCACAGTATATTCTGTAAAGTGCTTTGAGACATCTAGAAGATGTGAAAGTGCTATATCAAAATGCAAAAAAAACAGTAATTAAGAAATTGACAGTTCCAAGCACACATCTTTTGATGAGCATTCTTGAAGCATTCCTTCATACAAGTGCACAGATGAACCTTCCTGTAGTTGGTTATACAATCACATTTATGTGCAGAGGTTTGCCCTGGGGGTCTCTCTCTCTACTTGCAATTCATTTGATCTTGTCCATCACCCTTTCAAGTTTTGCAGTAACATGAGTCATTCCTTGGCTGACTAGACGAGCAGCAGAACTGCTCCAAGGGCTTTCTGAGACCATTATTCAAAACGATACAGTGTAAGATGCAAAAATTACACTCAGTGTAAGCTGCAGGTATCGGTATTAAAACAAAACAGAGAAGAGTTTTAAAAAAAATCTGAAGAAACCAAACTCTCCAAAACTTTGTGCACAATTTTTGCATTTCCTCTTCCTTTGCTACGATAGATCAATGAACCCTTCTGATCAAATAGGGAGATTAGATTTTTAATATTGAGTTGTTAGGATATGGAATGCCCTGCCGGGAGCAGTGGATGACACAGAATCCATTGGCTTTCAAAAGGGAAAAGGATGGATATCTAATTATTATTATTGTTTAAAATTTATTTTTGCAGAGATAAAACAGCTTGCTGCTACCTCCCTTACAAAAGTTCACAGTCTCACCTACCGGACAATTATTTGGGTATATTAAACTAAAATATGTGGTTTATTATTAGTCAGTTTAAACTATTTTGATTTGGGGTGAATGTAAAGCAGTACACATAGGCAGATGGTTAGATAGACTTTGGAAGACATAACCCAAAAACATCCAAATCCACTACCTTCCAACAAAGGCAGATTTTTCCAACATTGACACTAAGGAAATATTAAGCACAGGGGGATAAACACTGCTCCTTCACCTCTGGAACCTACCTATGAATCATACTCAGCTTACTGGGTGAAAAACTTCTCTTTCTGATGTTTCAAACGGTCCCGTGTAAAATGAGCTGGGACTGCTACAATCAAGAGACCAGCTGATCAAAGCCCAGAATACAAAATCTGCCTGAAGTTCAGGACAGATCATCTTAAGAGTGTCCAGAAGAACAGCAGTTGTTGAGACATAGAAAAGGCTAAGTGGAGCACCTTGTTGAGCAATGGAAGAGCTTTATTCTGCATTGGAACTCGGCTATACCTGGCCTGGTAATACTGATTACCCGTCAGGTAACTGAGATCTGCAGAAGTACTTCAAAGACTCTTTAAAGACCCTGTGATATATTCTGGCTGGTCATATGCACTCTATATTACTAAATGACCTTGATCTCCAATGTTCCTGCCAATATGGCTATAGTTAAAGGTGGCTCAAATCTCCCAGTAAAATCATAGGAACATAGGAAATGCTAGACGAAAACAGGAACCAGATCCATCTAGTCCACCTTCTACCTTCCTGGTAGTCGCCTGCTACAATAATATAGATGTTAATAACAATTAATTATGTATGGATTAGTCTACAGTGGAAAGCTTTGGGAACCTTAGATCTAAAGTTGAAAACGTAAACAGAAGTCGCTGGGAACACTCAGCAGGTTAGGCAGCATCTATGGAGAAAGGAAAGAGAGTCAACGTTTCGGGTCCATGACCCTTCGTCACTGTAGTGGTAACATGCACACCGGTTCAGATGATAAAACAACCTTTTTTAAGGAACATCTTGTGTTAAATACAGAGGTAGTAAATATCACACTCATCATTCTTGATATGAGAGAAGGTGGTTACAATTCAAATATGCAGCTTATGCAATTTATCTCAGTACTAGACTTTCTCACATTCATCACAGCACAGCTGGCACTCAATCCCCTATCCCTACAAATTGGGCTCACAGGTAACTTGTTTCAGAAGGAGTTGACGTTATAGTACACAACTTTTCCAACTAATGTTAGAAAATTGCAAGAGTTTAAAGGGCCTTTACAGGGCGCTAGAAGACTTTTGATCACCACTCTGTGAGTTTCCAATATTGAAAGGGAACACGCACATTCCCGATAGAAAGATCACTTGGAAAAGCATCGACTGAGTCACTATTCTTTATCCCTCAATGAGGATACTCTTGCACAATAAATAGAGTATCTTCACCCATGTCTACCATAACTGTAATCACTAAAATACAGTAAAACTGTCCTTACTGATTTCACAATCTATACTAACACAATGTTTATGACCTTCAGAGCATAAATATATCTTTGGTGATAGATAACAACTTGCATTTATACAGTATCTCAAACTGCTTCACAGGATATACTGTAAAATGTAGCGATTGTGTGCTTTGTGGGCAAAACGCGGCAGCCAATGCGCACAGCAGTGTCCCACAAACAGTCGTGGATTGAGTAACCAAATTATTTTTTTTCAAGGATTATTAGCCTTGGAAAGTGATCCACCAATCGACTAACAAGCGGTTAACAAGATGGCATTCAGACAATTCCACTATCTGAACACTTCAGCAAGAAATACCGCCACATTCGGAATGTATAATTTTTGAAGTGTTTACAGTATTCACTTTGGATAGCTTCAGATGACTGGATGTGCAGTCACCTTCTTTGCATTATGTATCTCTTTATCTTGCGCACATTATTCCAAATAATAAATAATGTGAAGAATATTTAGATCCATAATAAATAATTGTTGCATTTGATATAGCGCCTTATCACATCTTATATTTATTACAAACAACTTGCAACTTAACGTAGGATAAGCAGAGGAGTGTTTTACAGAGAAGGGTGTTGGATTCATGTCAGGGGAGAGGGTGATCATACGTGCGGTCGAAGAGGTAGGTTTTAAGATAGGATGTAAAGTCAGAGAGGGCACGAGATGTAGGTAGAGGGAGGGATTTCCAGACATTAGGGGCGTACAATCTGAAGCTTTTAGAGGATTAAATACAAATGTCTTCAATATTTGGTTTGACCAACAACACAATTTTAAAACTTGCATTCATACATAGAAAACAATTAACCCTCATAAGAAGGCATTTATTTGGGGTGGTTCTGCTTTTCAAAATGGTGGAATAATGGGATGAGGATATAATTTTGAATTGGTAAGGAAAGATAAACTCCACTTCTCCCTAATCACCAAGTTAGGTTTTCTACCTTTAGTAAGTATGATGAATTTATTCAAAATAAACTGTTTAAAATGTACTTTTTTTTCAAGCTTGCTTTAAAGTCACTGCATTGCAAATAATTCCCGAAACAAAAGAGAAGGGAATTTTATAGCTAACATACACTCATCCCCTGCAGGATGTTGGATGCGCAAGTTACATTTGCATTTCGCAGGCCATCATTTATAAACAAAGGCTTTGGCACTTGGAATTATTCTATTAGTATTTAACTGCCACTGGAACCATGACAAAGTACCATTAAAAAGATTATTGAGCTGTCACCCTCAGCTCATAGCTGAGTGTTATTTGACAAGTTGGAATGATCAGTATAAATTTTCACACAATAACAACTTGCATTTATATAGTGGCCTTCACATGCGGTAGCATCCCGCAGCACTTATGGATGGGTGGATGGAGTGCACACGCTCACAAAAATTCAAATAGAACTAAATTTGGCAATTTCAAAAAATGACACAACATGGAAGTTCTGCATAGTTTCCACACGTTTCAAGATTGAATACCTTCTTCCTTTGTACTTCACCTTTCAACTCATTGAAATATACTAATAGACTACTGAAATAGCAGAAGCAGAGTGTCACATAAATAAATAGTTTGGGTTTATGGAACACTTCTGGCTGTAACAAAGCAGATCTTTACACTTCGTCTGAGAGAGATTAGCATCTGAGACCAAATATCAACTCCAACTCTCCTCCTTTGTTGCAGTCAATGTCATGTTAGGCTTTCCTCATGGTGCCTGGAATCTACCCATGAATAAACTAAAACCATTTAATTTTTTGTGGCATGGCAAACAAATTCCTGAACAAACAGGAAGACTGCCAATCTTTTCGTATGCCTAATTTGCTCTCATAACTTGTTAAACTAACAGCAGCTCTCTTCAACCAATCCTTTGTTTTATCTTTCCTCTTTAGAAAAGCAGGTGTCCTTCCAGTTCACTACCCCACTAGCTTCACACACCCACTTCAACACCGAACAAATGCTTAATTGTACTGACAGTCACAGGTGTATGAAGCTGAGACCAGCCCACACTCCTACCTTTACGAGCCTGCAGTCAAACATTGAAATCCTCAGAAGAATGCTCAAACAGAAAAGTGTCTCCTGTTGCAATGCAATATTTGCTACTGGCATCTATGCCCCCGCAACCTGGAACTCTCTGCCTCAATTTCTTCACCTTACCAGTCTTCAGATCACACCTGAAGATCTTTCTCCTAGACCATGGCTATGATCACCTCCCCTCTGTCTCTCCCTCCCCCCCCAACCCACTCAGCATCAACCCACCACACTTAAGCGAGATGCTACCCTGCATGAAGGGCTCTACATAAATGCAAGTTGTTGTTGGCAATTACAAGAAGCAGCCTTTAGGCAGATATTACATCAAAACAAACCAATTTTTGGTCAATCAAGAAATTTAATTGCAAATTTCAACTTCAATTGTGAAGAGCTGCTCAGTACAAATTCTCTCAGGACCTCTAGTTTGCCATGAGATTTAAATCCTCCCTCACCAGACTCATTCTCAACAGCAAACTTTCCGATGAATTGTTTGTAACTTCAAAAGGGAACTAGATAAATAATAAAAGGGAATAAGCTACAGTGGTACAGGGAAAGAGCAGGTAAATGAGACTGAAAGGAGTGGCCCATAAAATAGCCACCATAGACACACTGGGCTAAATGCTGTATATTTATATGATTTTATGATCACTTTCCGAAGCTGAATAAAGATCAGCGCTGGTCTGGATAAAAGTACTCTCACCCACCCCCTTCCAACAAAAAACAAAGACTAAAATAATAACCAAAACTAATTTTCAGAAGAAAGAGCAGGTGGAATACACATTTTTATAAGCAAAATAATTTTCTTTATTATATAAAAATGCTATGTGGTTATCAGACTACAGTTCTACAGTTGAAACACCTCTTGATATTGTCACAGTTAAAAACTGCTCATCCATCGTCACGTCGCTTTGCTTTCAACAACTATGTCCTGTTCCCTGGAAATCCCAAAATGCCCTTGCCTTGCTCCCACACCCATCTTCACCCCATTTTCATTACTGTATTATCTTTAAAACCCATCTCTTTAGCTGTGCTGTGGTTCCTCCCCCTTCTTGGTGATTCTCATTATTTTGGTGTTATATTTCAAGCCCCATGTCAGGAATTTGAGCGTAAGAGTCTTGGTACTGCTGTAATAGGAACTGTCCAAATGTCATTTGTTGTAAAGGTATCCTCAGCCCAAACACAACTAAAGTACATGTAAAAAAATAATCGTGCAAAAAAGCACTTCAAAAACAGATCGATTCGAACAAATCAACCGGGATTTGGTTTCGGGCAGGAAAAGAAAAGGCAATTACAGATCAGAATCAAAGCCAAAAAAAAAAGTAATCGGTTACTGTGGATTATTTCACTCCCATTATTAGATTTGGTGAGTGGATACCAAGCAAATGGCAGCACTTTGTTCTGACCGTCCAGTGCAAACCACCCGATAAAATTGGTCATTCGTCTTCATGGCTGTTCATAGAATATTTAAGTTGCACTTAAATTGACTGTCGCAATCGCATACAAAACACAATAAGGTTCTATATCAAATGCAAGGATTATTAGTATTAGATTTAAAACCATTTGTGCAATGTAAATTTGCATCAAAGTTAACCAGGAATCAGGTTAACAATCCCAAACACTTTGATTTAATGGCACATCCGAAGGAAGGCACCTCTGACAATGCAGCTCTTTACTATTAAATACTATTAAATATTAATAACTTAAATAATGAGGATAAATAAAAGACAATAAATGAGAAACAGTAAGATGTTAAATAAAAGAAAATATTAAGGAGCAAATAAAGAAAAAACTCCTCGCACCATAAAAAAATCAAATGAAAACATGAGGAGAAAGAGAAATTAAATGAGACATTAAAGAGAGAGAATATCGAAAGACATGAAAGAAAAAAACATTACACACAGAAATCTGAGAAAATATTAAATAAAATCAAACGAAGAGAATTAAAAGAAAATTTGAAAGACAGAGAAAGAGAAATTGGAAGAAATTGTGAACAAAATAAGAGAAAATATCGAGAAATCGAACGAAAATATTAAAGGCAGAAATTAGAAGTAACATTAGAGAAGATGACAGAGAAAATACTAAGGAAATTAATGAGAAAATACTAAATAAATAGAACATTAAATAGGGGGAAAAATACCGAACAAGAAAAAAAGAAATTCGGAAAAAAACATCAAAACGGGGGAAAAAAATATGAAAAAACGAGAAAAATATCACCGACAAGAAATGAAATAACGTAAAATGCAGAAAATAAATCAAAACTCAAGTAGATAAATAAAAATAGACTGAGGCCGGAGAGACGGTACCTGTGAGGGGGACTCACACCGACGATAAAACCAACCGACGAAGACCGTTGCTCCTCCGATTCAAACCCGCCCTCAGCCGCCGGGGCTCGCCGCGCGCTCGGTGCTGCACATTTTCAAACCACTCTCCCTCCCCTCCCTCCCTCGCTATTTGTTCTCTGATCGATGCACCTGTCAGCCCTGCAGCCCGGGCTGCTTTACCGCTATTGCAATAGTCGGTAGCCTCCGCCGTTATTGCAATTTAACGGGACAGAGACAGAGCGAGAGAGAGCGCGCGCCCGCTCGCGTCGCTCACCGTTTAACCCGGCTGCCGGCTCACTCCCCCCCCCCCACCACCACGCGCGCACGGCGCGCGAGAGGTCGCGCAAGCCCCGTCGCCACCACGCCTCCTACACGAGGCCTGATTGGCTGCAGGAGGCCGACCAATGGCGACAGGCGTTACTCGGCGCCCCTGGAGACCCGGCACTGCTCCCGTGGCGCGGCCCGGGTTGGGCGGGTTTTGTGGCGGGCTGCGCGTGAAACAAAACGGGCGTTTAATTTCGTTTTGAATTAAGCACCGTTTAAACCTGCAAATGTTTCCTCCCCGCCCACACACACACACACTTCGAAGACTTCTTTACTTACGGTTTAAAAATCACTAACCTCAACTGACTACTCTGCTGCCACAGAAAACAACGCGTAATATTGGCTATTTTGGGCTAGTATTCGGTTGACTTTGGGCTACAAAGATTTTTGAATACGCATCTGGCCGCACCTGCTCTCTCTCGTCCCGCCTTCTATTGGCCACGCCCCCCTCTCTCCACCAATCGCGAGCCCGTCCCGCCACTTCGCGGCCAATCAGAGACACGGTGACGTCCCTACTGGCCGTGGCCAATCAGCGGCTACGCGCTCCTCCTCCGCCAATCGATGCCCCGGCCGGCAGAGGTGGGTGGCGATTGGCGCCGCCCCCCCACCCACCCCGGGACCCGACCACCAATCAGAAGAGAGCAGCGCGTTGCCGTGGTAACCCGGGCCCAACGCCGAGCCGAGAGGCTGCCCGAGGCCGTCAGGAGGAGGTGAGGGGCGCATCACGACCCCCAACAACCTGCCTTTATGTCGAGGGGCAGCGCCTCGGAGCGCTCAACAATGGCGGGGGGGGAGGTGACGTGAAGCACAGTCAAAGAGGAAGGCCCTCAGACGTGATGGAAGACGGGGAGGGAGGGAGGGGGCGGATTGGGGGAGAGACTTCAAAGCGCCTGAGAGGACGGCCGCCGATGGTGGAGCGGGCGGTGGGGGGGGAGGGCGAGGGACGCACGGGAGGCCGGAGCCGAGCCGGTAGCGTCGGCGGAGTGGGGAGTATTCGGGTCGGGGGGGGGGGGGGAGGAGGAGGAGGGGTCGGGGATTTGCGACCCAGCGAGAGAGGGTCTTGGAAGTCGATCCGTTCAGCCACAGGGAGCCGGTGGAGTCTGGGGAGCACCGGCCCGGCCGGCCCGCGCGGGGGCTTAGGAGCGGGCGAGCACACGGCGGCGGAGTCGGAGAATCAGCCGGGATTTCGCGGAGGGTGGAGCCGGGACGCCCGCGGAAGGGGCGTCGGGAAGGCGAGGCGGGAGGCCACGCAGCGCGGACCGGGATTTCTTGACGGTCCCAAAAAATTCCGGCACCGAAGGCATCAGAATACCGCAGTGAATTATAATAATATATAATAATAATAATCCTTGCATTTGATATAGCGCTTTTCACGCCGGGAGGACGTCCCAAAGCGCTTCACAGAACACACTGTAAAGTGAATTGACTGTATATTTGTGGGCGAACGCGGCAGCCAATTGCGCACAGCAATGTCCCACAAACAGTCGTAGATTGAAAATGACCAATTTATTATTGTTTTGGAGGGATTATTATTAGGCTCTGTGTGGAGTAAGGAAACTTGCCCAAGGTTTCGCCTCTGCCTGGAATTGAACTCAGGTCTCTCACTTGCAAAGCGAGTGCTCTAACCACTGAGCTACAGGACTCCACAAATTATTTTTACAGGAACGACAGCGATCCTTGAATTTGACTCAGCACCTTTTCACGCTGGGAGCGGGTTACAGAGTGCTTCGCGGGATTTGTAATCATAACAATCCTCGCATTCTGCATCCTGATTCCTAATATTGACACGAGAAATTCTCTGCATAAGAGAGGGTTATTCTTGTACAAACTACATTCAGCCTATAACATATTTTCACTATGCATTTAACCCATTGAATCATTTTGAGACATCCAACGGGAAAGGTTTATATCTGGACCATCTACCCATTTTCCCAAATCACAGTTATCTTTCCCCTCCCCATCCCTCTCGGCTCCCACCCCCAGCTTGGGGGCTAAGCCAGGACTCTCAAGCTCCTTGGATCATCCTCCCGATGTGAAAGGCGTTAGATAAATGTCAATTTGTAGATTGTATTGTTTTTATGTAGAAAGATGAAAATTTTGATCACTGTTGGTGACAGGTTTGAATGAAGTGACTCCAGAAACCCAACATTGAGGGGAAGAGCCCCTGACTGAAAAATGGCCTTTGCTCCATCCAAGATCATGAATGGCCCCAAAATGCAGACAAAGATGAGCACATGGACACCGCTGAACCACCAGCCCACTAATGACAAGGCAAGGGTTGCTGTGGGTCTCTGCTTTTTCCTGCATGGAGGTCTCTACAGTTGTTTTTGTATTTATGTGTGTATTTCTTTCTCTCTCTAGCTCTCTCTCTGTTTGTTTGTGTGTACGTGTCGCTCTCTCTGCCAGAGAAGGGAGTTTCGTCCTGATCAACAATCCCCCAAAATAAAACTGGTCACTCACTCCGTGGCTGTTTGTGCGACATTGCTGTGCTTAACTGGCTGCCGCATTTGCTTACAAAATACACAGTTAATCCACTTTACAGTATGTTCTATGAAGCACCTTGAGACATCTCGACGATGTGAAAGGCACTATATCAATTACAAGGATTATTATTATATCTTATGTGTCAGCCTGGCTCAGCGGTAGCATTCTCACCTTAGAGTCAGAGGGTGTGGGCGCAAGCCCCATATTAAGATTTGGAACCACATCATCTAAGCTGACTCTCCCAATGCAGAGCTGGGGTGTGTTGCATTGTTGGAGATGCCTTCCTTCGGATGAGACGCTAAACCGAGATCCTGCCTGCCTGCACAGCACTATTTGAAAAGAGAAGGGCATTTTTTTTGTGTCCTGGCGATAATACCCTGAATAGAACACCAGCAGCATTGCATAGTAGTGTCATCTTAGACTATAAGTTCCAAGACCCAACGAGAACTTGAACCTATAACTTTGAGACTCAGAGACGAGAGTGCTACCAACTGAGCCAGCCTCACACAATAGACCAAGCCTCAGACTCTTGTCATCCTGCATGAACAACGCAACGCTTCACAAACCTTGATTGTGTTTCTCAGCTTTTCTTTTTTCTCCCTCTCCTAGGTGTTTGAAGAAAGAGGAGAATTACTCGGCAAATGGGTAAGAAGGAACAGTTGGTTATTTTATAGACAAAATATTTTAACGTGAACTTTATGAGATTATGTTGGACAATTTTTGTAAAACCAAATTGACTGCTTGGTGGAAATCCTGAGTATGAGTGACCACCAGGGTTGCCCAGCTGTCTCACACTCAGAATATTCACCGAATAGTCAATTTTGGCTGTTCATTTCTACACTTTATTTTGGTCAGCCAGGTGTCTGACACATGCGGAAACCTATCATCCTGAGAGTTCTACACATGTCTGACACATAAACATGGACATTCCTCTGTGTCTGAAATGAAATGGGGGGGGGAGGGAGTGGCACGACCTGTCTACCTAATTCTACAGCAAATAACGCGTACGTTGGCGAGGGCCAAGGCTGGGGACCTCAGAGTTTCCATTGGGGTAACTGCTAGAGCTTAAACCAGCTAAAACCGCATAGCTTGCCATTCATAGCACAGTGTGCCAAGTTCCCACTGCTTGTCCAGCTAGGACCACCCTCTCTGTATGTCTGTGTAAGTGTGTCTCTGCCTTTCCGTTAGGGTTTTGGTTGTAGGTTGTAACCAGAGCTGAGTGGGATGACCCTGCCTCCAGTGACTGGTCTACCCTTCCAGTTCTTGCCGATGAGCCAGACTTGCTGATCTGTCATCAGCAAATCCACCACAGAGCATTGACTTAATTCTGAGATCCCAATCTCAAACATATCACCTTGGAGCCAACTACAAGCCAATTTGAATCCCCTCTATACTGTGGAGTCCTGTAGTGTAATAATAATCCTTGCATTTGATATAGTGCCTTCAGCTCCCTTCTCGACTCTCGACCCCCTCCTCGCTCCCTCCCTTCCCTCCCTCACCCTGATCGTTTCCCCCCAATGCTCGGGTCCCGACCCAACTGTCCAGGGCCTTGGGACGTCCTCCCCGACGTGAAAGGCGCTCTATAAATGCAATCTTGTTGTTGTTGTTGTTGTAGTGCCTCATCATCTTCGAGACTTCTTAAAGTGCTTCACAGGATACATTGTAAAGTGAATTGACTGGGTATTTTGTGGGAGAAACGCGGCAGCCAATTGCACACAGCAGTCTCTCACAAACAGTGATGGATCTAAGTCACCAAATTATAATTTTTTATGAAGGAATTATTACCCCGGAAAAGCGATCCGCCAATTGACTAACAACAGGGTTCCTACTTACTGCTTACTTACTGCTAGGTAGTATGTATGCAAGTTTCCTTATTCCATACACCTCTGGTTATTTAGCAGTAAATAGAAAGCGTATTGTTTAGAGCACTTGTCTCACAAGCGAGAGGATCCGGGTTTGATTCCTGGGTAGGGCAAAACCTTAGGCAAGTTTCCTTATTCCACATATCTCTGTTTACCCAGCATTAAGTAGAAAGTATGAACCTGGGGATAATAATCCCTTCCAAAAAAAGTAATAATTTGGTCACTTAATCAACGACTGTTTGTGAGACACTGCTACGTGCAATTGCCTGGAGTGTTTCGCCCCAAAGATTATATGGTCAATCTACTTTAAAGTATATTCTGTGAAGCACTTTGGGACATCTCAATGACTTGAATAGGCATTATATTAAATGCAAGGAATATTAATATTATTATTAGACTGTGCTCTCACTTGTGGTTTCTACTCCTCTCAATTGCTCCTCTCCCTGGACTCTCGGGTGCCTGCAAGCTGCAGGGCCATTCATTAGTCTAAGCGAGAGGGCTGCTGCTTTTCAGTGTTTCCACTGTCCAGGCTCTGCTTTCTCTGCTGTATGGTACAAGTCTCCTACGGAGTGATCTCATCCTTTGGCAGCCTGTCATGTGGCCTCTGAAGGACGGTGCCTCTGACAATGCAGCGCCTCCCCAACACTGCACTAAAGTGTCAGTGTATAAGTATCTGCTCCATTCCTACCTACTGACACCAGGTTAAAGTAGATAATCACAGGGAGAAGTGAGCACTAAAGTCCTGGCTTATCCATTGTCATTATCCAATTGATCTCAGCAGCTTATTGCTGGGAAATAACTCAAAGTGCTTCATCAGTAATTACTGTCAAACTGATGCTTAGAGGCTTAAAAGGCTTTGAAAAGGCTCCAAGGTACCTAAAGGCAACTAAAGTCATTTATAATAATCGTTGGATTTGGTATCGCGCCTTATCATTGTCGAGAAATCTTAAAGCGCGTCACAGAATATACAACAAACAACAACCACTTGTATTTATATAGCAGGGTGGTGGCTCGGAGTGCTCTCAGCAGTATTTGGGACTTTATGTAAAATGACTGCCGTGTTTACTTACAAAGAACAGTTACTGCAGTAATTTCTGTGAGGCACGTTCAGGCAATTCAATAAAATGCAAGTACTTGCTCCTCCTTCTTCCAGAGCCGCTGAACAGAGGGAGCGGACAGGTCTCTATGGAGTTACCAGGTCACAGAGGTAGGGAGGAGCAAGGCTATGGAGGGCTTTAAAGGCAAATCACAAAGGCATGCTGGATATTGTGTACCCTGTGTGTTTGTGTGTCTCTCTCATTGTGTCTTGCATGTTATAAACCTAACGGGGATAAGTTCAGGCAGGCTGTATCTGCAGCACAAAAGTCCACAGGATTCACTAGTAATTGGCAGTGCTGGACGGTTTCCCAGTGAAAGACCACAAAGGCAGATGTGAGGGAAATGGAAGGTTTATCTAGGGACAATTGGCTTTCTCTGAGGATAACTGTAATGTGAGCAGCTTCACAGGGAGCTGAGTTCCCCTGGGCTGGGCACGGTTACCAAACACTGGAGGTTTGCTGCACGTCAGGATATATTCTGTCTTCTTAATCTTGGATCTGTGGAGTCCTTAGCTCAGTGGTTAGAGCACTCGCCTCGCAAGCGAGAGAACTGCGTTGGATTCCAGGGCAAAACCTTGTGCAAGTTTCCTTACTCCACACCCCTGAAAAAAAACAATAATAAATTGGTCACTTCAATCCATGACTGTTTGTGTGACAATACTGTGCGCAATTGGCTGCTGCGTTTCGCCCACAAATATACAGTCAATTCACTTTACGGTATATTCTGTGAAGCGCTTTGAGACGTCGAGAAGACGTGAAAAATACTATATCAAATGCAAGGATTATTATTATCTTACACGAGAGCTCCATCTAGTGACGATCAACTGGTTGGAGACCCTGCTCGAAGGAGACTGAAAAAGATCAATACGTTAGGATGAAACAACAAGGTTACATTTGTATAGCGCCTTTCACGTCGGGAGGACGTCCCAAGGCGCTGGAACAATACCGTAGAAGAGGATATAGGATTGAAGTTGCAAAAGGCAATTTCAGGCAGAAAGTTTGCTTTACTCAGAGGTAATTAACGACTTGAACGGGTTGTAAAGAAGGTTGAGGCCAGCACACTGGACTCATTTGAGAAGCAGCTTGATGCTGAGATGGGGAGATTGTGGGGGTGTTCTGGAGTTGTGACATTGGGCCAGACTGTTCTTGTGAACATTTGAAAATAATCAAACAATTATAATAATAATAATAATCCTTGCATTTGATATAGCGCTTTTCACGTCAGGAGGACGTCCCAAAGCGCTTCACAGAAACACTGTAAAGTGAATTGACTGTATATTTGTGGGCGAACGCGGCAGCCAATTGCGCACAGCAATGTCCACAAACAGTCGTAGATTGATAATGACCAATTTATTATTGTTTTTGGAGGGATTATTATTAGGCTCTGTGTGGAGTAAGGAAACTTGCCCAAGGTTTCACCCTCTGCCTGGAATTGAACCCAGGTGTCTTGCTTGCAAAGCGAGTGCTCTAACCACTGAGCTACAGGACTCCACAATTCTTTTAACCTCTGCCAAAAGAGCCCATCACCCATAGGGAAAGAAACAACATAGATTTTTAAACCACCTAATCATGTCAAAATATCTCAAAGCACTTTACAATATATGCTGTGAAATATGATTCGCAAACCCAGCAGTCATGTTGTATTCATCAAGGTCCCACAATCAGGAGGTGACTTGCGTGGCAATGGGAAATCAGAATCGGGTCGACCCTCTGTAGTCCTGTTCCCGAACCAAACTGGTCTGCAGTACGTAAAGACACCACTGATGCCAGATCAGACTGGTTTATTCAAGCAGGACTTGGACATAGAGGGGGCAGAACGGGCTACAGAACACACAGTCACTCCACTTTATGGTATATCCCATGAAGCGCTTTAGGATGTCCTCCTGACGTGAAAGTCGGTGTGCAAAGAATGCAAAGATTATTATACTTTACCAATCAGCTCTTTGAAGTGTCCTCCAGATGTGAAAGGTGCTACATAAATATAACTGTGATTTTGTACATTTTATGAAATAAAACCCGCTTCATATCTTGACCACAGAATGCACACTGTCCCACCACTTTCTGGTACGTCCTGTGAAACCCTGTGAGATATCTTGATGACATGATAAGGCATTGTGTTAATTGAAAAATTCTTGTTATTATTTTCAGTTTGACAAGTGGACGGACAATCAGCGCCGCAGGATCCTGCTGGGCCTGTTTGAGAGATGCTCACTGTCACAGTTGAGGTTCTGCCAGCAGCAGCTGTGGAGCAGAGTACCTGCCGAGGCTGTGGACCTGGCCTCTTTCCTCCCCCGAGTGCTGTCTTTGTACATCTTCTCCTTCCTGGATCCTAGGAGCCTTTGCGCTGTGCACAGGTAAGGCTCCGTGTGGAGTCCTGTAGCTTAATGGCTTGTGCACTTGCCTCGCAAGCGTGACTTGGATTTGATTCCCGGGCTGGGCGAAACATTAGGTAGGTTTCCTTACTCCACGCCTCTGTTTAAAAACAATAATAATAATAGATTGGTCTCTCAATCCACGAGTATTTGAATGACACTTCTGTGCGCTAATTTGTTGCTACGTTTCGCCCATAAAATAACAGTCAATTCATTTTACAATATATTCTGTGAAGCGCTTTGAGGCATAGAACCATAGAATGTTACGGCACAGAAGGAGGCCATTCGGCCCATCGAGTCTGTGCGGCTCTCTGACAGAGCGTCACTTTCACTGACCCCAATCACCAGCTTTTTCCCCATAACCCCACAAACCCGTCTTCCCCGATACCTGTCCAGTTCTCTCTTAAAAGCTGTTATCGAATCGGACTTCACTGCCCTTTCGGGCGGATCATTCCAAATTCCAACAACTCGCTGAGTGAAAACATTTCTTCTAACCCTCCCTCTGCTTCTTTTGGTAGATATCTTCAGACTGTGACCACGGGTCACAGACACACTGACCAGCGGAAACAGCTTGTCCCTATCTCGCCTGTCGAAACCTTTCATGATCTTGAAGACCTCTAACAGGTCCCCGCGTAACCTTCTCTGCTCTAATGGGAAAAGTCCTAACTTCTCGAAGATGTGATACTTCTTTGCATATTGACCCGGACCAAACTCTGTACCCCCATCTCACCAGCTCTGGCCCAGCCTCTACTGGCTCCCCATCACCGAACGGATCAACTTTAAGATCCTCACATTCATGTTCAAATCCCTTCACTCTGGCACCTCCCTACCTCTCCGACCTCCTCACTCCCCAATCCTCCGCTCAACTGGCTCGCTCTACTCGTCCCTGGCACCCTCCGCCCCACCCTCCGCCTCATGGAAACCTTCCTGTTCGACCATGCTTATGGCCACCTCCCCTCCCCGGTTCAGAGTCAGGTTCCGCCACTGTTAAGCGCTCTGAGACGCTGCTGTGTGTTCGAGGGCACTTCATAAGTGCAAGTTATTGTTTTGATGAAGCTCTATATCGAGTGCAAGGATTATTATTACTATTATGTCATAGGTTTGAACTGAATCCTTGCACACATTGCTATTTTAACCATGAGCACGGGGACAAGATGGGGCCATTCAGCCCTCGGAGCCAGATTATTACATTTCATCACATTTTTTTAATCTCATTTGCCTGCCCATATGATATTATCTGATGCATATCATTTTATGCGTTTCGCCCACAAAATATGCAGTCAATTCACTT